GCCACGCACCGATGACCTATCCCACGTCATCATTTACCCAGAATGCTTTGTGTGTAAATAAAATGGTTCTGTCTGTGTAATATATTTTTTAAAATTTAGTTTAAAAATTATAAAAACTAAACAGCCTACAGTATTTTTACAGTCTTTATTTTACAGTTAGAATAAATGTTTATCAAATAAAGTCTAATGTTACAACTAATCAGGGATCCCTTTTAAAGACAGATCAGTTTTCTCCAAATCAAATGTTTTTAATGAGGCTGGTAGGAGACCTGTCCATCCTGTACCTGTCCCGCTCATCCTGGAGCTCCTCCAGCCTCTCAAGTTCATCCAGCCTAGCCCACAAGTCGCTCTCAGACAGGAGGCCTTTTCTGGCCGAGGTCTCTTCATCATTCTCCTCATCCTCCTCTTTAAGATCAAACACTGCATCAGTCTTGGGCTTAGAGTTCGGTTTGTGAGCCATTCTTTGCTTTCCTGTTTAAGCATTCAGAACAGAAGGAACCAATTCACATTTATGTCTCACAAAGTAATTGAGGTAAAAGAATTCAGCAGAGTTAAAGGCTTCTCATAAGCTGTGATTAAGTGAAACGAGGTCAAAAGAAAAGCTCACAAAGATACCTTTTGTGACAGCCGAGTCATTGTTTCCGACCTCCTCTCTGATGTCGACGTAGTCGCCTTTGCTCTAAACCACAAGAATGCCAAGGTCAATGCATTTGTTCCCTTTCATGTGTTGCGCAACCTCTGGTGTGTGAGAACTCGCAGGAATGTAACGTACAGCTGACAGAGTTTCCAAACTCTTAGCGAATCCAACCCTCGCTTCGAAGTTTGTCATGGTCTTGGACAGATCATCCAATTCCTTCCTCACATCTGTGGGAAACAGATGCGTTTTTATGAGAACTAGCACTCGGTGAAGCTGAGTGACAAAAGCAAATGTGCAAAAAAAAAAACTGGCAGCCAGCAACAACTGACACATGAATAAAACGTTCAACATTAATGACAGGAAGCTGCGAAGAGAAAGAGTTAAAATCCTAAACAAGCTGAAAACAACACGATGACACAAACAGTTCATAATATCTTCTGCCCTGAATACTACTCCGGATCATTAAATCTTCACAACAATTAAGCCCTTTCACTAATAGCAGCAGAGGGCCCTTGTTTCCATGGCGATCGGGAGCCCCTCCAGTCAGAGCATCAACTGGAAGTGAGGAAAGGTCAAACACAGAAGGCCTGACAACTCAGCCGCTGTCTGACACATTTCARCTAGCCGTGTTTGTATTACAGCACTTAGCTCTGTAATAGCAGGGTGTGGGGGAGGGAGGGGGTCAGGAGATGAAGGAGGGGGGGGGGTGAGGATGGGCTGTGGCAGCAAATTTCTGCTTCACTAAACATTCTAATAATGTTCACATCTGACTTGATATGAGATTTTCAGACCTAGAATGAGCGGCACAGGAAAAAAGAAAAGCTACACAGCCCACGTTAAATGGAACAACACCAACACATCGACAGGGCTCGGCCACATGAAAGGAACTGAAGAGTTATAATGTTGACAATAAAGGCAGAGACGAGGGCTAAACTCCAAGAGCAAGAGAARAACAACCCCTGAGCTCTGCAGCATCCAACCCTTCAAACACTTGTGAAATCAAACATCCTSTGTGTGCCTTAAAACTAATCTTTTATTGCAAAAGCTTTGTCTCAAACTACTTTTGAATGGCAGATTAGAGTTTGTCCCTTTATTCAAACATGACGCACCACCGCCCTCTGCTGGATGAACTGCGGCATTGCACGGTTACTTTTAAAGGGGCAATATTATGTGTTTCTCAGGCATATATTGAAATACTATACCATA